AAAGAGGTTGAGGATGGATTTACCTCCTCAAGTGCTCGTCAGAATTCCCAAACTGATCGTGAACTCGCGTGCGCGTACCCGTGTGTGTGCTTTGCTACCTCTTGCCGTGCGTGGTGTACGAAAGAACTAAGGCAAACTGCTTGTCTAACTATTTCTGGACTTAGAGAAATTTAAGGTACAATTATAGAGCTGAATGTTGGGAAAAAAATCGGCCCCAACTCCCATCTTTATACTTGAACCGAACAAAAGGGATGATGAGGTGATGATGTGCTTAACTAAGCTAATGACACTTGGAAATTAATTAGGAACTTTAGGGATGACTAATCCCTCTCATAATCCTCCCAAAGTGACACGTGTAAAACTTGAAATGGAAGGAAACATTATGAATTGAATTAGAAAATCCATACGGCATTTTGGAATATTTTGCACATAAGCTTCGGCTTTTTAGCATTAATGTGTGATTAATGTTTAATTAATCACTTCATTTTTCTTTATTAACTTTTAAGCATAATACTTAATTACCAAAATTATTCCGAACGTAAACGGTACGTCGAAAATAATTTTCGGTAATCTCGACTGAAAATAATAAATTCCGAAAATTAATACTCGACAATATTAATATATCGGAACTAAAACATAATTTATACTGATAAACTGGCGGGATATTACAATCCTCCCTCCTTACAAATTTCCGTCCTCGGGAATTCAAAACATAACTGAATATACATGAACTATGTACATGGAACAAGAAAATATGTACATCAAAACTGAAAATCTGGGAAACGAGTAAGTATATCGGACTCCGCCTCCCAAGTAGCTCCGTGGCGATCCCACTGAATACGCACGAGGGGAACATCACGCTTCCGGAGCCGACGGACCTGACGGTCTAGTACAGCTACCGGTCGCTCCTCGTACGAAAGATCTGGCTGAACCTGAATATCTGAATGAGGAATGACATGATCGGGGTCGCACACGTATTTACGCAACATAGATGCATGAAATACATTATGAATGCCTAATAACTCATGAGGTAGGGCTCATCGATACGCGACCTCGCCTACTCGTTCGAGAACCTCGAACGGACCAATGAATCGAGGGTGCAGTTTCCCTCTCTTTCTGAATCGAACGACTCCGCGAATAGGACGAACTCTGAGAAAAGATGGCTCGCCAACCTCAAACTGAATGTCTCGTCGATGATGATCAGCTGATGATTTTTGTCGACTTTGAGCTGTCTTGAGTCTCTGCCGGATCAACTCGACCTGATCTGTTGTCTCCTCGATCAACTTAGGACCGAGTACTCGTCGCTCTCTGACGTCGTCCCAATAGAGAGGGGAACGACACTTGCGACCGTAAAGTGCTTCGTAAGGAGCCATCTGAATAGAAGAATGATAGTTGTTGTTGTACGCGAACTCGGCGTACGGTAACAATGACTCCCACTTAGCACCCCTGTCAACAACCAAAGCACAAAGCATATCCTCAAGCGTCTGAATGGTCCGCTCTGACTGACCGTCTGTCTCCGGATGGTAGGCTGAACTGAATTCTAGCTTCGTGCCCATCGCCTCATGTAAACTGTGCCAGAATCGACTGACGAATCTAGGATCTTTGTCTGATACGATCGTAACGGGCACTCCGTGGAGTCGAATAATCCCACGGGTATATATCTCAGCCAACTTATCCAAAGACATCTTCATCGAAACGGGTAAGAAATGAGCGACCTTAGTCAATCTGTCAACCACGACCCAGATGGCATCGTGATGATCAGACGACCTCGACAATCCCGTAACGAAATCCATCGTGACTTCCTCTCACTTCCACCTCGGAATCGATAGTGGTTGCAGGAGGCCGATCGGACTCTGATGTTCGGCTTTGACTTGCTGACAGGTAAAGCATCTCTTGAAGAACTCGACGACGTCCTTCGTCATGCCTCGTCACCAGAACGACCATTTCAGGTCGTGATACATCTTCGTGCTCCCGGGGTGGACTAGATAGGGTGCGGTATGAGCCTCTGATAATATCTCCTTCCGCAATGCCTCGACTTTCGGGACCACGATCCTGCCTCTGAACTCTAGGGCACCATCGGCACCTAGCTGAAAACCCTCGACGCCTCCGGCGCGAACCTTGGCCTCCATGACACGAACGAACTCGTCAGAAGCCTGTTCCTGCCAGATTCTCTCTCTCAGCGTCGGCTGAAGCTGCATGGCACTGACACTGGCACTGACACTCCCCGATACGAATGTGGGAAGTGCATCGATCGCCTGAAGCTGCATCCGGGCAAACTCCTGAATCAATGGACTCTGCTGAGTAACGATGTATGTCAAGTCACCCCTCACCTTTCGGCTTAGGGCATCTGCAACGGCGTTCGCCTTCCCCGAATGATACTGAATCGAGCAATCGTAATCCTTGACGAGCTCGAGCCAACAGCGCTGTCTCATATTATACTCCTTCTGCGTGAAGATGTACTGCAAACTCTTATGATCTGTGAAAATCTCGCAACATCCGCCGTAAAGATAATGTCGCCAGATCTTGAGAGCATGAACAACGGCGGCTAACTCCAAGTCGTGCGTCGGATAATTCTGTTCGTGCGGCTTAAGCTGACGTGAAGCATACGCGACGACCTGGCCATCCTGCATAAGGACGCATCCCAAGACCTGTCTCGAAGCATCGCTGAAGATGGTGAAACTCCGAGAAGGATCGGGAATAGTCAACACCGGTGCTGAAGTTAACCTCCTCTTGAGCTCCTGAAAGCTCGCCTCACAACGATCAGTCCACTCGAACTTCACAGACTTCCTCGTCAGCTGGGATAGTGGGAGGGCAATCTTGGAAAAGCCCTCGATGAACCTGCGATAATAACCAGCTAAACCGAGAAAACTGCGAACCTCGGATGGACTCCTCAGTGTCGACCAGTTCTGAACAGCTGAGACCTTGAAAGGATCCACCTCGATACCTGCCTGAGTAATCACATGACCCAGAAAGGCTACTCGCTGGAGCCAGAACTCGCATTTGGAGAATTTTGCAAACAGCTTTTCTCGTCTGAGGGTTTCGAGAACCACCCTCAGATGCTCCTCGTGCTCCTTCTGGCTCTTCGAGTAGATGAGAATATCGTCAATAAAGACAATAACAAACTGATCGAGGTAGGGATGGAAAATACAGTTCATCAGGTCCATGAAAACAGCTGGAGCATTGCTGAGACCGAATGGCATGACGACGAACTCGTAATGGCCGTAACGAGTCCTGAAAGCGGTCTTAGCGATATCTGACTCTTTAATATTCAGCTGGTGGTAGCCTGATCGTAAATCAATCTTTGAGAACACACAGGCTCCCCTCAACTGATCAAATAAATCGTCAATCCTGGGAAGCAGATACTTGTTCTTGATCGTCAACCAGTTAAGATCCCGGTAGTCGATACACATGCGCATGGATTCGTCCTTCTTCTTTACAAAGAGAACGGGTGCTCCCCAAGGTGACACACTCGGTCGGATGAAACCGAGTCGTAACAGCTCCTGAATCTGAGTCTTAAGCTCTTGCAACTCCTTTGGCGCCATACGGTACGGGGCTTTTGATACTGGACCGGCTCCTGGAATGAGATCGATAGAGAACTCCACCTGCCGGTTAGGCGGTCCTCCTGGAAGTTCATCTGGGAACACGTCCACAAACTCACGAACAACTGGAACATCGTGAGGTGATCGTGCTTTCTGAGAATCGTCGACAAGGCTCACCAGATAACCCTGGCAGTTGCCTCGTCGCAACAACTTAGTGGCTTTAGCCATTGAAACAACGTGAGGCAATGAACGATTCCTGGAACCAAAGAAAGTGATCGACTCGTCTCCCGGAAGATAGAGAGTAATCTCCCGGTCATGACATCTGATATCTGCATGATAAAATGATAGCCAATCCATTCCGAGAATAAGGTCGAAATCCTTCATCTCGAGAACAAACGCGTCGGTAGACAATGAACGACCACCGATGGAAAGGCTAAGGTCTGAAGCTTTAGCTGAGGTCACTATCTTTCGTCCCGAGGCTAGACTCACCTCAAGAGGATCGACAGCGGTAACGGCATGAACTCCGATGGCATCAAGACATTGTCGTGAAATGAATGAATGCGTTGCTCCAGTGTCGAACAAAGTGAAAACAGGAATATCATTAAGCACAACCATCCCTGAAATAGTACCTGGCTGCTGTGCTGCCTCGGCCTGATCAACCGCGTAGACTCGGGCCTGCTGTCTACTCCTCTGCTGCTGCTGCTGAGGCGGCCTCTGCGCCTGCTGACGTGGCTGCTGCTGTGGTGGCGGCTGTTGAGGCTGCTGGGGCTGTTGCTGAAGTCTCTTTGTACAGCGGCTCACAAAATGTCCTGGCTCGTGGCAGTAGTAGCAAATTTCCTGACCCATGTGGCACTCTCCGCGATGCAGTCGTCCACAAGTCAGGCACGGTGGAACCTGTTGCTGTCTCTGTCGGGTCCTCCTGTCAGTCTGAGCACCCTTCCCCTTCCTCTTCTTCTCCTTTGCCGGCTGAGCAGCTGGTAGAGCTGGTGGAGCTGTGAATGGCTGAACTGGGGCGGATGACTGGGCACGATCACGGACAGCCTCCCTCCTGATGCTGGCGTCCACCTCCTGGGCAATCGAAACTGCACAAGCGTATGTCTGTGTCCCATGTCCTACATTATTGTGACGGACTGCTGGGTAAAGCCTGTCGATAAAGCGCTGTGCTCTCTGAGCCTCCGTGCGAACCAGGTCCGGAACGAAAGCTGCAAGTCTAGTAAACTCTCTCTCGTACTCATCAACAGTACGAGTACCCTGCTGGAGCGATAAGAACTGACGCTCCATCTCTGCCCGATAATAAGTGGGGTAGTACTTCTTGCGGACTAGCTCCTTGAGCATATCCCACGTACATCTCGCTTTCTCACCGGGACGCATGCTCCAGTAGGCATTCCATCAGAGCCGAGCATCGCCAGTGAGCTGAAGCTGAGCGCAGACTACGCGATATCTATCAGGACAATCCATGACCTCAAAGATAAACTCCAGGCCCTGAATCCATTCGTCTACGATGCGGTGATCTCCCTGCCCGGAGAATTTTTCAGCGTGATAGTCGCGGAACTGTGCGTCTACTGTGGCCTGAGTAGGAGCCGGGTGATCGGGTTCCCTACGGGGCGGCATCTGAACATTGAGAAAGTTTGACATTATTGAAAACGTGATAATATTCTGAATGATTACTAAAGTACACAAATCTCTTGACGAGTCGCCAAAAATGGCCGATAAATACTGACATGAATCTTGAGGAACTCTAGAGTCATATCTGAATGTCCTAAATTCTAAACTCTGATCCTGATTCGAGCATCTTAACTAAGTCCTGATCCATAATTTCTGAGCATAGACAAAGTAATATGTTTATAACTGAAAACATAAATCAGCACTTACCTGTAGTCGGCGGGGCGTGAGCGTGACGGTTCAGGTTTTTCTGAAAATTACTGACTGAAAAACTTTTCAGAGACGCAGAAACGTGCTCTGATACCAATTGTAACACCCCGCCTTATCGTGAAATCAGAGTGCGAAAATTTCACAAAGTTATAAAAATAAAATATTTTACTTTGCAAAAACTGATTCGGGGTGCTACCGTAAAAACGTGACTTATTTTGGAAAACCGTTATTTTAATTTTTAATAAAATCATACGGTTTACTGAAAGCATAAATTTTTCCAAAAGTCTGGTCAAATATAAGTCCATCAACGTCAAAGTCAGCGGAAACGTAATATCGTCAAAATATATACAATCATATCATAAAAGTCCTGACACATCCGTCATCTCACGCTCCCGGCCCGACATCTTGACCTGAAAAACATGATAAAAGTGGGTTGTGAGCACTATGACACTGTGCTCCGTGGAAACTCATACTAATGTAAACATTGAAAATAATAACCACATCATGATCTTGGCATATACATAACCTGAACATGAAACCGGTAATAACATGAACATGAATCTGATATCATCACGTAAACGTGAACCATGACCGTTACCTCATCTGCCGGCAAAAACTAATGCCGGACACCATGTGCACACTCTAGTGGGCAGACTAGGGCCACTAGAACCCAGAATAGACCGGCGACCATTCCGAGCGGATACATGACCTATAACCCAGAATAGACCGGCGACCATTCCGAGCGGATACATGACATGAAATACATACCTCAAACATGGTACCGTAATTATAATCAATGTAGTACTTAGTCTGAGTCCCCACCTAATCCGTGAAAATAAAGGTAGTGCTGATGCTCGTGACCTGATCAAACTGAAATATAATATAAACAATTACTAATGACTATGCTCAGACTGTTAACTTAACTGATTAATTATGTTAAGATGCTCTACTGAACGTGACATGATACTTAGACTTAACCGGTATAACCGGAATTGATCTGACATGAACTGGTCTGACATGAAATTCCTGAACTGAACTGCACCCGAAAATTTTAACTGAAAATGACACTGAAATTAAAAACCAGGGCTGAAAACATGAAGTACGAACTGAACCGGTAAAAATGGGACTGAACCGGTCCAGCCAGTCTGAACCGGTCTGGACCGGACTGCCGGTCGACTGAACCGGGCAGTCGGGTGCTGGCTCGGCCAGCGGC